ATATATATATATTTTTTTTTTTCAATAATATATTTTGGCTGAATCTGAAGATAAAACGATACATCTTGATAAATATTTAATTCAAATAAATTTTTTTACTCAAAATTTGTTAAACATTAGTTTTTTTAGTGTTTTAATATGTTAATATTAGATTATTATTATCTTTTAAAAATTACTTCAATTTTCATTTATTCAAAACATATATAAACCTCAAAACATGATGTCATTAATCAGAGTACAGTAGGGCATCGATTATCTGAATCAATTGGGGACTGGGGTTGTTCGGAAAATTGATTTTTTGGATAACCGATTATGTCCCAAAAAATATATTAACCTGTCCCATGTTGAAATTCGTTCAAATCCTGGCATGTCCTTAAGTACCCTCTCATGGTCGCACAAGTGCTGCCAGCTAAAACATGCACACCAACAAAAATAATAATGGAGTAGCCCAAGACATAGCCAAAGATTGCAGTGCCACAGCACTAGTAAAAATTTAAATTTGCCGACTGGAAAGCTTTCGGTTATTTGACATTTCAGTTGATCGACATTCAGATAATTGATGCTCTACTGTACTTAAAAATTCAATTATTAATAGTAGCAGAAAAATAGCCCAATACATTACAGCAATCATTTGGCTCTGACATCAAAACATTTTCATTTTTATAAATTTGATGATTTATAACTTCACCCTACTTTCAAGCTATGAAGTTGCTTTTCTGCAATATATAACTATTGTATTATCAAAGTATATTAGAAAATTATTTAAAAATTAAGCTAATTTAGTTAGTTAATTAATGTAATAAATATCTTTTAATTCAAGTTGTTATTAATTCTAATGATACAATTTAACAGATATTAATTTTAGAATTTTATTTTATATTGAAATATTTATGTAAAATCACTTTCATTTCTGGACATTTTTTAAATAAAAAAATAGTAGTAATAGTTATTACAGTTCTAGATAAATTAGCATTCAATTCAAGATAAAATTGTGTTTATTTTATATTATATTACAGTAAAGCCTTGTTGTTTTGAAACTCAAGGGACAAAAAAAATATTGTTTTGAAAAAATTCGGATAATTCATACTCATGTTTTTTGTAATTCTTGAATAAAATTATAACATTATCTTATATAATTTCACTTATAATATTAATGCATTTGTAAATGAATGAGTTTTTTCTTAGTAATTTAGGCTATTTTCAAAAATTTGTCAGTTGGTGTGTACTTAATGAAAACAAAACTACATTCAAAGTAAGTCCTAAAAATAACATGTGAAAGAAGCTTAAATGCTTCAATAAGAATTACTCGTACTTGCAAATTTCATCAAGAGGACCAATGGTTAGTTTTATGAAGAATTCGGTGACTTGAATTTGAGATTATGAAATCATGTGATCTGAAAAAAACAAGCTTTATTAAAGGCTAAAGCTATTTACAAGCTTTCTAAAGCTATTTATAAGTATGCATTCTATCATGAGTGTGAATGTGTATTTAATGGACTTTGGAATTATTGAAGCAATATATTTTTGTGAAAAATGTCCAAAATAATTAAATACCAAACAGATTTTTTTTTTCCTTTTTAATGGAAGAAAAGAAATTCTCTCTTCATTGGCACATGTATGATGTCCAAATGACCTTGAATTGACATCTGATAAATCATCAATATATAATTGGTGAAACCGAAACTGCCACTTGGGAGTGAAAACTTTCTTATAAACACACAATATTATGGAAGATTTCAAATTAAACAATATTTTTGCAGATAGTCAGGCCACATAATGACTTCAAATTTCATTGTACATGTATTTTGAATTATCCAAACTAAAATATATGCAAAATCCTATTCTCTTGGCTGGGGATTAGACTTGACTTCAAATTATGTGATATTGAAATAAGGAGGTTTTACTGTATGTATAAATTAAAAATGACAAATTTGAATAGTTAACAACAAAATTTATATTGAATCCAACATTTAGTTTTTGTATTTATCATAATCTCTTCTCTGTGTTTATACCCTACCCTCCTATATGTTATATTTTTTGAGACACTATGAAGTGTTGAACTGAACACTGGACTTTTTCACTTTCACTTTATTTTTCTAATGTACTTTACAGTCTTTAAATTAATTGTTTCAATTACCAGTATTCGGGCTGATACACATTCTCTACAGGAATTTTTATTCTATTGTTGATGTACATAAAACCAAAACACCATCATGTACAGTAAACCAGTTAAAAATTCCTATGAAAATTACATTAATTGCAAAGTTCCATTTTTTACATTGGATACAGTACCAATAATATTGCACATCATGTGCAATATGGTGTCTCAAAAAATGTGATATATTTATCATAATTTTAATTAATAAAATTCAAATATTAGTATAAATTTTAATACCAAACTTTTCTGTATTTCAATTATAATGAAATTTAAAATTTTATTTTTAACTTAGAAATTAGCATCCATGAAAAGTCAACCTAATAAATTTGTAAGTGCCAATTTACCTGTTAACAAATTTAAAAACAGACTGATGAATATATTGCCATGTAAGTATTGATTAGTAAATAATAATTATTAATTTTTAAATAAAATTATATTATTCTATATTATTTTATTGTTCTATATAGATTAGCATCTAAATAAGAAATCCTTTTCATAATTTATTTTTCTTGTAATTAGTGCTACCTCAAATTTTGATTTATTAGATAGTTTTTTATTCCAAGATTTGAAGCTTTTACACTTAACAACAATATTTATTAATTTCAAAAGATTATTAATTAATATTTAATCTTTAGGTGCAACAGCTTATATTATTATACTTTGATATTTTCACAGAATTTGTTTATTCTCTCTAAATACAATACAGTGGTATGTCAATTTGCTGAAATAATTTGGGTAGAAATGATTTTTTACTTTCCTGGCTCTGTTGTATATAACAGAAGGAAAGTATGGCGATCAGTCAAAAAATGTCCCCCTCAAGACTTTTACATTTTTGGATTCTGGGAACCTTGAAACATTGAGAAATGAAAAAAATTAAGTTTTTTTCCTGCATATATGGATTTTTTTGTGTGTGTGTGGGGAGGGCACAATTTTGTTCACCCTCTTTGAAGCTTAATAACTTCTATGCTCTTATTCAAAAATTTCTGAAATTTTGCAGGGAGGTTTGCATATTAGGGGATTGATGCTATTAAATTTTGTTTCTTAAGGGTTGAGGAGTTGGGGAGATAAAGGGGCTGTGTGTCATTTTTTGAGTAGGGTCAAACTTAATGATGATTTTACTTATTAGCATTTACAATTTTTATAAAACCCATTCCCTACCTTCATAATAAGGTTTTTGCCATTTTATAATAATTAAAAAATATAAAAATTTTAAAATAAAATATCATAACAGATAGTACAGTTGACTCCCCTATAACACGGGTTCATATAGTTGGATTCCTATATGATGGTGAAAAAATTGTGACAGTATTCGTACAAACATGCTAAAAAACTCATTTAATTTGGTATCACTGACTCATGTAGCAACAGGATTGGTCGAACCTAGACCAATAACAGATATTGCACAAACCATTGAGTTTAAACGAGCAGCAGACCTACTAAAAACCATTTATTATTTAACGTTCATAAAAATTATATTTATGTGGGGGCCGAGGGGGGAGAAATTTTAAAAGAAACTCTACGAACGATAATATGCGATATGTATCATCATCGTCTCCCTTGCCGTCTGGATTGCCGAGCGGTAACAATCAACATGTGGAAGCAGTTGAGTCAGAGATAGATGCTTCGTTTACAAACAACACAACCGTTTATTAAACACGAAAGAAACTTACAAGATTTCCACGATCTTGGAAGTTCTGCGGCAGCTGCGGCCTCTGGGTCGTCCTCTCCTGTGGTTCCACGATAGTCCCATTTTGAAGGAGTGTCCCTTGTTCGAGAATGAACAATTCCATCACGTCTCGATGACTCCGGGACGATGCGGTCGACTTCCGTTGATGGAACGATGTCAATCCGAGGCTGGGAGATGGAGACGAAGATGTGTGCGAGACACACACACAACAACAGGTTCGTCACTTGGAACTTTCGGGAGAAGAAGCCGTCGCGTCCTCGAATTTCCGGGGTTTTATCTGTTTTCTCTCAGATTCCCCTTTCCGATTGGTCTCCCGTCGTCAC